TACATCTTGCTTGCATGCAGTCCTGAATTCAACCCCCAGAAGTGATTGCATCCTTTTACTCTAGCAATACTGGGTGCATCCCTGGTAATCACAAAGCCCTAGACAGAGGTCCATACTGCCATGTCCAGGGTCACTGGCCTTTGGTGCCCCTGAGCACAGCAGAGAAAATACTCACTTCCACAGAAATTACATTTTAAAGCCAATAATGGTAAGGATGGGAGATCACATGTCACATACTTTCTACGGGAAGAAGGCAAGAGGGTGTCCCCAGAGTGGAGCTAAGTTTTTCTCTCTAACTGCCCTTACTGGAGAAGAAACATGAGGATGGCCATTGGACACTGCTCCGCTGGGTGGCCATTTCAAGCAGAAATTAAATTGAGTGACCAGTTGTCTCCTTGGCTTCTTAAAGTGTAAAGTGGGTTCTTTCTGCAAAATGTTACTCATTGTTTCAAACAGGATCCTGTGGATCCTTTCTAGTCTCTCTCTCTCACCCTTCATTCAGATCTTGACTAACAAATCCTTTCATGTGAATGGTTCTAAGAATCATAGGATGTTGTTTATTTAGAATGCTGTCTAATAGAATACCTGTCTATTTAGTTGAAGTTGAAGATGGGGCTCATAGGGAGTGAATATATGTCGCGGGTGATCTGAAACTATCTCTCCTCAAAGGATGTATCCTATCAGTCATGCCTCTTGTCAATGTGACAGACACAGGATATTCCCATAGGCCCTTGTGGAAGAGAAGTCTGCCCACACTGAGGATGGCAAAGCTAAACCAATGTGTCAGAGTACATGGCCAGCTTCCACCAGGGTTGTCTTGAAAAGTTCAGGGGGAGCAAAGGCTGTCAAATATAGACTCAGTAACCCAGAGCAGAAACCCTAACTCTATATGGCAGCCATCGACCACCAGGACCAATGCAAACTTAGTAGGTGATAGACAACAAAATGATTCTCATAAATTTCTATTCCCCCATGGGACTTATTACATTACTATCAAATTGCCAAGAGTTTTAGTCTTAACAAAGGAGAAAGTCTACTTAAATTGAAAATAAAAGCCATTTATCTGCAACACTTCTCTGTCCCAATCCCCATCGACCTTCATCCCTCCCCTTCACTCCCTCACACCACCTCCTCCCTTTCCCCTCTCCCACTCTACCTTGTCTTTTGAAACGTGCAAACTCTTTTTTCTGTGGCTAAGTCACCACCCTGGAAGCTTATCCCTTGAAATCAGCTACCACAAGCAGCTGAAATCCTGAAATTGAATGATGGAATTTCTGGTCGCTCCAAAATTTATTTTACTTTCTGAATTGTAGTGGTTTAATATGTCCCCATTTGAAAAACTGTCTGTAATATCTCCTTTACTTTTGAACATAATTATCCATTCTGTACTCAGAGATGAGTTTCTCCCACACTCATTAAATGAATATTGTGGGCCTATAAAAGAGTACCAGCTTGAAGAATACTTGATCACCCCAGAGCTGCCCCAGAGCAACTCTCTGGCCCTTGGTGCTATTCTTCACCAGTGCCCATTCTCCTCAGCACAAGGATCTGTGCTTTTACAGAAAACCTTTGCTCTGGGACTGGCATCAGTTTGGGGGGCACTTTTCCCTCCCCACAAAAGATATCATGTTTCATAATCACCTACTAGGTCTCACCTCCCTGATTGGTGCTATTTCAAGCCCTTAGATACCTCCAAGTTTCATATAGTCATTTTAGACATGTTTGTTGAAAACATATAGATCTTGTCCCCTTCATAGCATGTCAGGGAGACAAAATCACAGCCACAACCTCCTTTGTCACCTTCCCACTCAGTTCCACATTTTATGTCTGTTGTGTGACTTTGGACCATGAAGTTTGGGTGGATAGATTTCAAATTTGCATGACTCCGGAGCAGAGAGGTGAAACACACAGACTGGGGAGGATTCAACGATCCTCCCTTGTGAGAGGTAGGATGAAATTGAGAACATTGTGGGGTCTCTCTTCCTTCGAGGAAGAGATGCTAATTGTACCTATGACTTAGTCCTTTTATAAACATGGATAAAGGGACCCATCAAAAGATGTGAATACACACTTTATCAGAAGGACAGGTAGATGGTAATTAATTGTCTGAAAAGATGCTCAACATCAGTAGTTTTTAGAAAAATGCAAATTGAAACCACAATGAACTACCACTACGTGTCTATTATAATTTAAATAGTTAAACAAAAACCTATTTAGCACCCAACTATTTATCCAAAAGAACTCTATGCCCTTACAAATGCTTGTACATGAATATTCATTGCAGTTTTACATATAAGTGCCAGCTGGAAGTAATCCAAAAGTCATCAGTAGAATACTACTGGCAGTGAAGAGGCTGAGTTGGTGATGTACACAACCCTGATGAATAAATCTCTGAACAATTACGTTAAATGAAAGAATAGAGATTTTAAAAAAAAGACTATATCCCATGTACAGTGTTTATAATCTTAAAGAAGCTGCAAAGTAATCCCTAGAGAACAGAAAGCAGATCAGAAGTGCCTTGGGAATGTAGTGCCTTGGGGTGCCCAGGTGGCAATGGGGCAGGAGGAAATTTGGGGGGGGGGGGTAGGTAAATGAATATGTTGACTTTCTTGATTGTGGTGATGGTTTCCCAAGTATATACACGCATCATAACTTACTGAATGGCACATTTCAATTAGATGTGGTCTGAAGTGTTAGAGCAAATGCCCTACCCACTGTGCTAAAGCATCTCTATTAACCATGTATGCTGCCAACCCCCGTTCAGTTCCTGGTATGGGACAAGTTCTACCAAACACCTCCAGAGGTTACTCCTGAGCATAGAGGCAGAAATAGTTCTTGTCCAACCTAAGTGTGGCCCAACCGCCTCCCTCCAAATATATGTGTTCTTTTATATACAAGTTATATTTCAATAATACAGGCTGGAGCGATAGCACAGTGGGTAGGGCATTCGCCTTACACGCGGCCAACATGGCCGACCCGAGTTTGATTCCTCCGCCCCTCTCGGAGAGCCCGGCAAGCTACCGAGAGTATTCGATATGCCAGACACAGTAACAACAAAGTCTCCAATGGAGATGTTACTGGGCCTGCTTGAGCAAATCGACGATCAACGGGAGGGCCTTTACCTTTACCTTTACCTATTCTTCTTTAAGAAAAATACCTTTGACATAGTCAGCCTTCTGTAACTATTAGAAAGTTCAATGTTAGTGCCAGAGCAATAGTGCAGTAGGCAGGGCACTTGCTTTGCATGCACCAGACCTGAGTTCAATCCCCAGTATCCCAAATGGTCTCCCAAGCACTGCCAGGAGTAATTCCTGAGTGAAGAGCCAGTAATAACCCCTAGACACTGTTCTTAGGATTTATACTAGCCTTGTGAATTATCCTTAGACTCTATCTGTCTTGATAATGCAAGTGTTTTTTACATAATTTCTTTTTAATTAGCTGTTTACCTTCTTCCTCCACCAAAAAACAACCCAAGTCATTCAGTGTTACATGTGGAAGCTTCCCTTGGATAGGTAGGACTTGATGCCCATGTGAACTTTGTGTGGAGCTGTTATTTGAAAACTAAGCCATAAGATGAAAAGCAACTGCCTAGGTAGGCATTGGCCAGTTGTGCCTTCGGAGTGATTAAAACAGGAGGACAATGATGACAATTTTCTATCTCTATCCTTTAAATGTGTTAAGGATCTATTCTTCTGTCCAAAAGGAAAGAAGCTTTCTTATTTTTCCTGCCAGAATCATTCCTTGGAACTCATAAGTTTGAATCATGGACTCTCCCACTGAACTGTACCTTCAGCTCAAATTTCTTATCTACATTCATCTTTTATTTTTATTTCTATAAAGTTGTTCACAATGATTCATTACATTTAGTATCCAAACAATCCCATCACCATGCAACTTCCCTCCATCATAAGAGGAAAGTGTGTGAAGATTCTTATATTTCATCCTAGAACAATTTAAGCCCTATAAGAGATTACAAAAATGTATGTTAAACCCAAACAAATGTGTGCTACTTTTGGTACATCGGTGGGTTGGAGTATGAGAGGTTGTGCAACTTCAAATGTCGGCTGTGTGTTCTAGGAATTCTGAAATTTAGAATATGATTATAGAGCAGGTTCACTTATGGGTAAGGCCTATGTCACTCTCTTATTGGCTGTTGATGAGATTATATGGCACCAGGGGCAGTTTGTGTGTGTGTCTGCCAAGATACAGAAAATTTGGAAGCTGGGGGTAGGAGGCCCAATCCTGCTCTAAGCAAGCTTGGAGATTTCAGTCATGGGTCCAGCATACCTGGGTTTTTTTTTTGTTTTTTTTTTTGCAGATTCTCTCATAGGTGATGCTCATTTGAGCCTGTGGAGAGCAGCCTTGAGCATGACTGCAGTTGAGTTCTGGAGGTTTTCAGCTGCCAATGTTCTGCTGGGGTGGGAAGAAAAACTCGAGAGCCTAGTGTGGGGTCTAATCTCTTTTCTAACATTCATTATTCTATGAACATGGACTGGACAATGCAAAACATGACTCCTGGGATCAGGCGGGGAAATTTATGGAGAGAACAATTTGGGAAGTGGAGAATGAGGATGTCATCTGAACAGGTCATCCTTAAGCATGTCCTTGTATGGTTGTGGAATTCTATTGCCAGATTGTGTGGATTTTTCCAAAGGAGGAACAATAGAAACAGCCTCTCTTTCCTGTTGGCAAATGAAAGGAAGGCCAGGATGTGCCCAACATTTTCTCACCCGCGGCTCCTGCAGTCCATCCTAAATCATCCTTCTGGTTATCTTATTCTGTAACAATACAACCTGCTCTGACTCTTTTATATACAGAGCTACAGAATGCCCCAGAATTTCTCTCCTTGACATATAGCTCAGTCTCAGAAGGGACTTCCCTGGAGATCTTTTATCTTGGTGCATTGGAAAGAGGAGAAACACTGCAAGTCTCATCTGTTTTAAGGATCCCACTGAAAAGTTCAATATCCTTATAGCATTTCTCTTTCTCTCTTCTTGCAGGTGGACAGAACAGAGGTGATTCGCACCTGCATAAACCCAGTGTATTCCAAACTGTTTACTGTGGACTTTTACTTTGAAGAGGTGCAGCGCCTGCGTTTTGAGGTCCATGACATCAGCAGCAATCACAATGGACTGAAGGAAGCTGACTTTCTGGGTGGCATGGAGTGCACACTGGGCCAGGTAAAGTAAAAAAAGTAAAGTAAAGGCCCTCCCGTTGATCATCGATTTGCTCGAGCGGGCCCAGTAACGTCTCCATTGGAGACTTTGTTGTTTCTGTGTCTGGCATATCGAATACTCTCGGTAGCTTGCCGGGCTCTCCGAGAGAGGCGGAGGAATGGAACTCTGGTCGGCCATGTTGGCTGCATGCAAGGCAAACGCCCTACCCACTGTGCTATATGTGCCCCCTTGCCTTCCTCCAGCATTTCTTCCTTCCACTTCCCTCCCTCCCCCCCCTGAAATCCTGGCTTTCAGTCTTTCTTTTGGTGTTGCTTTTCTTCGGCCCTGTAACCTTTTGGAACTTCCTAGGCACTGTTGTAACCAATCTATTGAACATTTGCATTTACACTGGATGGTGTACAAAATTATTCATTTTCTCTGCCAAATTCCTGCCTTCTGTTGGACATTCATTTAACAATGTATTGAGCACTTACCAAGTTCAGGTTTTATGTCTGGGAGAGCTTTATCCTGATGCCTTTGACATTTCCATCTTCCAATTCTAGTGTGACAGCTCCCTCTTCTACCACCAACTCACACACATACAGGGACTATTGCTCATTGCTGTGTTTTCCAAGTCACTGGGTGCAAAAATAGCTTGAGAGGGGAACTAAAAAGGTATTTGGTGAATGAGTAAGTGCTATCACTTAGCCCTCACAGCGATGTGAAGTAAACATCCTCATTCCATCCATTTATCAATGTAACTGAATGAGACTCAGAGGGTAGCTACTTGCCTCAGGCTGCCCTCTAATAAGTAGCAGAGAACTACAACTGGAACAGAGTCGACTTTGCCAAGCACCATCATTTTGTTTTAATAATTCCTTTCTTTTTTCCCTTCCCTTTCTATAAACCCAGAATTTCAGTAGCTACTTAGGTGAAACAAAAAGAAAGAACAGAGGGGCTGGAGTGATAGTACAGCAGGTAGGGTATTTGCCTTGCATATGGCCTACCTGGGTTCAATTTCCAGCATCCCATATGGTCCCCTGAGCACCACCAGGACTAATTTCTGAGTGCAGAGCCAGGAGTAACTCCTGAGCTTCGCTGGATGTGACCAAGAGAGAGAGAGAGAGAGAGAGAGAGAGAGAGAAGGAAGGAAGGAAGGAAGGAAGGAAGGAAGGAGAGAGAAAGAAAGAAAGAAAGAAAGAAAGAAAGAAAGAAAGAAAGAAAGACCCTATGCCTAAGAAGAGAATCAAACTGAAGAAAGCAACATTTTGTACCTCACTGTCATTGTCACTGTCCTCCCATTGTTCATCGATTTGCTTGAGCAGGCCTAGTAATGTCTCCATTGTGACACTATTTTGTTCCTCAAATAGAACAATTCTCTCAGCCATTGAGAAATACAGTACTCCAGGCTCGAGACATAGGGTTGTCTTTTCTACTGGGTAGTCAAGGAAGGGCATTACCACTGGATGGACTCGAGATTGGGAGCGTTGATCTGGTGGAAAATAACCTTCTCTTGAACTACAGAGATGCCCCTGTGGAATCACAGTCAACCAAGGGACTCCCATATGTGTTTGCTGGAGATTGTTATAAGGGTGTCATGTGGTCACTTCCAATCAACGAGACAGGGCAGTTTTCTCTGAAACGTTTCCTAGCCTTAAAAGCAAATGGAGACATGTATGAAGGAAACTTTCTTCCGTGCATCCTAAGGCTACATCTTGCAGCAGTACTGAGGATGAGACAACTCTCAGGGGAACTCAGGGTCATAGGGTGTGGAGGCACAGGCCTGAGACATTGCACTGGAACCCTCCCAGTCTGTAACATAATATATCCTACAGTTGAGGTCCTCTGGGAAAAGATTTCTCATTTTTTGAGCTAAAGGCATCATGATGTCCAAACTTATTTGACCTACTGCCTCCTTTTACAGAAAAGAAAAACAAATGTGTTTTGCCTTTGTTTAAGCAAAGTTTTGCTTTTTTAATGAAACAAAGTGCCCGTAATTGTAATGCAATTAATGTCCTTCTGGATCATTCCAGTGACAACCCCCCTTCCCCTTCCCAGAGAATGGTATACCCACTTGGGAAACACAGATATAGAACATAGTCACAGTCACGATCCTCCCGTTATTCATCGATTTGCTCCAGCAGGCCCAGTAATGTCTCCATCGTGAGACTTCTTGTTACTGTGTTTGGCACATTGAATACATCATGGGTAGGTTGTCAGGCTTTGTCATGCGGGCAAGATACTCTCAGTAGCTTGCTGGGCTCTCTGAGAGGGGCAGAGGAATCAAACCCTCTCCGAGAGGAGCGGAGGAATCAAACCCGGCTTGGTTGGGCCGGCTGTGTGCAAGGCAAACACCCTACTGCTATGCTATACATGAAAATATGGACAGGATTTACTCTAAGGATTGGGGGAACAATGGAAAACTGTGGGAGTGCACAGACACTTAATCTCTCAAAATGAGAAAAGTGGCAAAGTGAGCCCAGAGAACTATAATATAAATAATTATTTCTATATCTTGATATTTGTCAAAAGCTTCCATACTGATCATTTTATCTGACCTCTTGGCAGTACTGGGAAAACCTTTGGCATTATTTATATTTAATGGTTCAGATGATCAAAGATGAAAAATTTCAGTGTCTTGACAGAGGCAAGACCAGAAGTCAGGAGCTTTTGATCCCTAACCCAGTCCAAAACTCCTTACCAGTATGTTATTTCTAGGTCTTTTGTTATTGTTTCCCTCCACTCCCAAACTCCATTTTTCTCCTTCCTTGGAATTTTTGTTTCTGTAATCTAGAACCAATGATTTTCCCACCTTTGTTACCTATCATTCCCTAGACATATTATTCTAATAATAATAAACGACAACTTAGTAATAACTAATCTGTAAACCTGGCACTTGTCCTTATCCATTGACTTACTTCGCTTAACATAGATCCTCCAGTTCAATCCAAGTTATAGCATGTTGCATGATTTTTTCATTTCTTGTGGCTGCACGGTATTCCATTTGTATATTAATACTATTCTTCTGCTGTTAAGCACCTAGGCTGTTGTCTGTGGTCCTGTTCAAAGGCAAATGAGTTATTCATCTGGGCTAACTGGGTGAATAGACCCACAATCTCTACTGAGAATCAATTAATTCCTGTATTTTTCATTGCCCTTTTTCAGGTAAGTAGTCTTCCAATGAGATCTAGGAAAATCCCTCTGCCTTTATGGAATCTTCCGCAGATACTTTAAATATCCCATGTTGGATTCTCATTGAAATCCTGAGCTCTAAGTTCTAGATTTGTCACCAGTTTTCTGTGTAATGTTGGAGAGTTTGCCTGTCCTCTGTGGTGTAATGACCTCATCCATAGAGCATAGGCTTTATTCTGATTAATCTCTATAGGAATCTTCCACTTCCAATAGGCAGATTCTCAATTATATCCTTCCTTTCTCCCATCTCTAAAGAGAAGCATTCCTACCTGCATTCTTATCTCTCTTCTTAGGATGAGCTGGAGCATACCACCTGCACTAGCCCCTTCTCACCTATGACTCATAGATGACTTTCAGTCACAGACTGTATCTCCTACCTAAGTGTCTCCAGGAAAGCAATTTCTCCTTGTGTCTTATTTTCAAAGATATTTTTAAAAACATCTTTTCACCTCCCAATTTCACAGTATTGAAATTTTAGTAGGAGCACACTAAGTTAAATGAGAAAGTAACCTAGACTCAACAAACAAAAACAATAACACAGAAGGCCCAGCTAGCAATGAACATTTCATTGTCAACCTCACTTAAAACTACTCTTGGCTTCCAAGATGATGGTTGAAAGACTGCCTCGTTCCTTTTGTCTGAAAAAATGCTCACCCTTCTGAATGGGTACTTGAAGCTGTAGCTCTTTGGACACTTGGTAAGACTGGATATGGGGAGGTAGCCTGCCTCTTGCTAATCTCAGAGTCAGGTCATTTGTGTTGATGGGATCTTATCCCCATCATCAGTGGCAAAGGTGGATAATTAATACACCAGGGGTCCTTAAACCCCTCTCTATAGCTCTCCCTCCACTCTCTCCCTTGCTAATGAAGTCAGGGAAAGGGTGAAGGCCTGTAATTAGACTTGACATAATTAGAACCCTGCTTAATAGAAAGCCTAAAACAGGAAGCCCAAACCAGTAGATTACCCATTGCTTCTGTCATTTTGAATCATTCTCCCCAGGATGGCCCTTTTATAGGTCCTCACTAGGGATCTAGAACTGAGCTGACTTTATACAAAATTCACACACACACACACACACACACACTCACACTCACACATACACACTTCTAAATGGCTGAGAAAGCTTCAGCAATGCCAGCTCTCTACATTTCTACAATGTTTCCCATTAATAGAAGTCTAAGTCAGCAGAATAGATTAATGTAAGCCCTTTTCTTAAAATCTTTAAACTCTGATCATATTGTACTGAAACAATCTACATGCAATTCTCACTTTATAGCTCAGTGCTTTTCCAAATTAACGTGCATGCAAGTTACCTGGGGAATCTTGTGAAGTTGCAGGTTTGGACTCAGTCATTCTCAGGTAGCTCCTGAGATTCTTGAAGCCTAGAAAATGCCTAAGCCATACTGCTCTAGTTGGTGCTGGAAAAGCTAGATAAGATGAAGAGGGAAAGACACATCCTAAGGAGCTAAGGAAAAGTTCTTCTCTAACCCAAAGATATAACCAATTTCCTTTGACAACTACTTCTCATGTGGATGTTGAAGAATGACGAAAGTTTGCAAGTTATTTGGGGAAGGTCATCCTAGACAGAGGGAACCACATAAGAAGAAGGATAGATCTTGAAGGAGTTTTCAAAAAGTTCTCTGAACACTATTTTTAAAACTTCCCTTCATAAGCAGTATATACAAAAGATTGACATTCTCAGGTGTAACTCTGTGCTCCAATGGGATAGTGGGCCTTAGGGTGGCAGAGGGCTATGAGAAATGAAGAGAGCTCACGAAGACAAGGACCTTCACATCTAATTCCGCTTAACAAGTATGCTTTCTACAAGTCAT